GCTTTGAGTAAAAACAATATCAAATGTTCGTGTCTTAAGGAAAACTATCTCAAGTGAGACACAGTTTGTTTTGAGAAAAAAATCTCAAGTGAGACCAGCTTTGTTTCAAGTGAAACAAATTCAAAATTTGCATCTCAAAGGAAAAATGTCTCAAGCGAGACGAAATCTGTTTTGAGAGAAATTTTCTCTAGCGAGACAATTTGTTTTTAGAGAAAACTATCTCAAGCGAGACAAAATTTATTTTTAAGAAAAACTGTCTCTAGCGAGACGACACTTTGTTTCGAGAGAAATAATCTGGAAGGTGACAGACAGTCTGCTTGTTCCTACATGTTGAGGAAATGCCTTCAGAAGATTTGATCATTCCCTTCAGGATGTTGAATCTGTATATGACATTATTTCTTCAGGTTAGAGGCATCTGGTCATTTCTGAACTTTTATTTCCTGAAAGATCAATAAATGATGCGTTTATGAATGACTATCTTGGATGTTATGATGGATGACAAGATGAAGTTTATTTTATGTGTTTGATTTGATGAATTTTTGAATTTATCCTCATGAGAGGGGGAAAATGTCTTTAATAAAGACAAGATTTCAAGTGAATTTTTTAATAGTATCCTAATGAGAGGGAAAATAAAAGTCTTTATTGCACATAATGATGAATGTTTGATGCAAAGATACAAATTTTATGTAACATGTATGTATGTGTTGATGTATGTTTTCTTGATTAATGTGGGAATGATTGCATGGGCAGTCTTTATTCTTTATTTGCACCAGCGTGCATCTTGGAAAATCTGGACTCGTGACCATTTCTTCTTGCCCTAGTAAATTTCCCCCTGATGAATTTGGCTTCCTTTGTCTGGACTTGTATAGAAATCTAGTATAGCTTCCCTCATGATTCCATTATTATCACTGCCATATGGTTTGAAAAGAGAATTTATCATTTCAAGCTTTGGAGATTGTGTATGCATAGCCGGCCTATAGCAGAAAATCAAAGGCTATTGTCTGGAGCTAATCACCACAGTAATTGATTGGAATATCATACTACCCCAAAGAGCTATGATACACATCCATGCCAAGGATGATGGTTTGAACCTTAGAAACAATTGATTTGAAGATGTTTTCTCGATTGCTGACATCGAATTTAGTCCTCCAAGTTTGGCATTGATTCTTAGAAGCAAATTTGTAAGGTGATGATCATTGACCCTAGTTGGAGCCATACATTATGTGATTATGCCAAACTCTTGAATAGATGGTCTATCTGAATTGAACCTAAATGAGGCTATTTATATCACATTATGTTGAGAACTTAGCGACAATTCATTGTTTAATTGGTTGCAATAGTTTCCTGTTGTTAAGATTTCATTGCACATTCTGTGGCAAAAAAACTTCGTCACTTTTAACCTTGGCACAGGCAGAACACGACCTTCAACTTGAGTGAAATTAGAATTTAAAATCCCCATATGATCGAATCATTGGTTCGGTGTCATAGTTACTGGTTCATAAAACATTCGACAACTTATTCATCAAAATGTGATTATCCCACACGCTAAACTACAACCTTACCCCCTATCAAAATTACATAGTTTCGAGTATGGTATATATATATTCACTTAATACAAAACGACCCATCCTTCTCATTTGTCTTGATTCCTCAACAGAAGGAAGAGAGAGAGTTTTCAAACTCTCTCATCGGGGAAGAGAGAAGTCGTCGCCGCCGTCAATGCTTCACGGTCGTTCACGACGACTGGAGAAGACAAAAGCCCCCAAAATGTCCCTCTCATCTTCCTTAACCTAAAACCCAAGCCTATTTAACCTAAAACTCCCTCTAAACCCCTAGATCTAAGTTTTACCTTTCAAAAACTTAGAGATTCGGTGACCCTTAGACTTTCAGCTTCAAACTGTAGTATGTTTCTCTCTTTCTCTGTTTTTGCTTTTGTTTTCTTGGGTTTGAATAGGCTGATTTTCTCTCTAGTTTTTTTAATCGAATAGGATGAGCGATTTTTCTCTTAGTTTCCCCGAAAGGTCTCCTTTATTTTTCTATGCCTTTTTCTATATCCCCTTCTCATTCGTCTGAATGATCTTTCCCTTTTAATTTGCCTCTAGTCTCCCTTTTGTTTGCTTTAGTGCTACCCAAAAATAGGGTATGATTGTCCTGCTATCAGAGAAATTGATAGCCCCGTATTTTTGGGATTTCATCTTATTTTTTAATGGGGTTTTAGATTGATGTTGATTTATGGTCACTGTAGGTGAATTGATGATGTCATAAACCCTTATCGGTAGTAAGAGAAATCAGCAGCATTGATAGCAGCAACTACCTAGGGTTATGATGAAACCCTAGGGCTCCATCTCATCTGGATCAAACTCAAATCCAATGGGCAGGAACGAGCGGCGGCTGGAAAGAGAAGAAACCCTAGTGGTTTCGGGTTATCAGGTTAGGCTTGGACGGTTCAGATCTTGGGTTTGTAATATGGGCTCTGTTTTGTGATGTTTGGGCCCTTTATTGTTGGGTTGGCTGATTGGGCCTACAAAATATAAAATAATTGTTAATAAAATAATAATAATAGTAATAATAATTAAAAAAAGTAGAACCCGGACAAAAACGGGTGTCTACAATCCTATTATGAGAACTAGAGGCATAGTAGATAGGGATAGAGTTACGTTGGGGCCAAAGAGGCTTCGACCCCTATAAAAATTTGATCATGTAAAAATAAGTATATTTTAGTCTAATAGTATTTTGTTTCATGTAAAAATAAGTAGGGTAAGGTACATAAATAGTCCCTCAACTATATTGTGATGTTTTGTTGAGTCTCTCAACTATTAAAAGTTACAAAATTGTCCTTCGACTATAGGATGTTGTTTTTTCGTGTCCCCCGACTATTGGAAGTTATAAAATGGTCACCCGACTATTTAGTATGTTTAAAACTCGTCATTTTTTGTTAAAAATGACAACAATTGTTTTAGATATGTGATCAGATTTTATCATATCTCAATCATCAGGTTAACATCCAGCTCATATTTTCGTTAATTTCTTAACAAAAAAGGACGAGTTTGGAACATACTAAATAGTCGGGTTACCATTTTGTAAATTTTAATAGTCAGAGGACTCAACAAAATAACATCCTATAGTCGAAAGACTATTTTGTAACTTTTAATAGTCGAGGGGCTAATAAAACATCACTCTATAGTCGGGGACCATTTTTATACTTTACCCAAATAAGTATTCATTTAAAAAAATACAAGAATTTATTAAATATTTAATTAAGTACAACTGATCTAAGAAAAGATAATTCTATGTTCTCAAATTTTTTTGTTTAATAATAATTTAGGTCATTGTAAGTTTAAATATTAAACAAATTAAATATTTTTTTTTAAATTTTAAGTTTAAATATCTAACAAATCATTATATTTTTTTAAAAAAATTTAATATTTCAATCACTATTAATATTTAGCGCTGACTTGTCATTGATAGTATACAACAGTTGGCTGAGAGTAATCATGATAAATGAGGATACCCACCATTGTTCATCAATGGCTTGTAATCTGCACGGTCAAAATCAAAATGATTGCATAATCTTATATCACCTATATGTGTTCCATTTTTCATCAGCACTATCTCTCATGCCTCACATTACATTTCTTTGAATTAAGCAACAAAAAGAATAATAATAATTAGGGTAAAATACATAAGTGATCACTTAACTGTGCTGAAATAATCTTTTAGACTATTAAAGTTTTGAAAATTATAAAATGGTCATGAAAACTTATCCATCTATTACAAAATGATTCTTCAATTTATTGAAATTTATCATTGTTTTAAACGTATATTGTTCATTTGTAACGACTCGATGGGTTTAAGGGTCAATTTTTAAAACTTTAATAACTTAAAAAATATCATTTTTTTAAATCCAACTCTAATTTAAAATGATGTTGCTGGTTATAACTGCAGCAGTCGTAGAGAATGATGCTTCTAAAGAATAAACCAACATTATCATATATCCCACCCATCCTAGTTCTGATTTGCGGTATTAGTAGGGAGAATTATTTGACAGAAAATTTTCGATTTGATTTAATTTTATAAGATATTTTTTAAATTTGAAAATTTAGAATCAAATTGAGTTAGAATTTCTAAATAATAAGATCAAGTCAGTTTCGGATTTAAGATAAAAATATAATCCTAAAATAATAATATAATTGACTTTTATATATTTAAGAATAATTGTTATAATATTTCTTTATATATATAATTATGTCTCCATTTTTTGGTATAATTATCGATATTTGATCTATTGATCGATTATTTCGGATTGAGTATTGCATAGGTGAGGGCGACCCACTGAACACAATTTACTCTATTCACAAACGTCATTATTCAAATCTAATCTAATACCTCATCTCCTTATACCAACCGATTGTCGGTAATTATGTCTCTATTTTAACTAATAGAAATAAGACTTGTATATATATGTGATAAGATACTGTTACACAATGCAAAACTCTTTTAGTTTTACACAGATTTAGGATCGTTGGATGAGTGAAAATAGATAGTTGAGATTAACAGTAGGAAATGAGAAAATATTCACTAGAGAAAAAAGAACAAGGAGTCAATCTCAGCCATCTAATTTCACTCATCAAAAGGTTCTAAATCTGTATAAAACTAAAGAGTATTACATTATGTAAGTGGATCCTAAACTATATATATATGGATCGTGTTGGGTACATGCGTACATTTTTACCTTGAAATTGGATTAGGTTTATTCATTAGATGAAAGGGTATACTCATTTCGAATTCGAGGGGACAGAACCGAAAACCTAATCCAACCCATGACCATCTCATAAGATATTTTTATAAGATATCTTTTTATCCGACATGAATTAAAAACTTATTTTATTTTTCTTTTATACGCATCGAAGACATTCAACATCATCAAAAGCAAAACACTCTTAACCTTGGATTAAAATTAAAGCATAAAACAAAACAGAATGGAAACACTTTGAATATCAGAATCACACACAGGAAAACATTTCAACCTGAACTAAGCTGCTTTGATTGCAGCAAAACCTCAAACAACACTCTTAAAGATTTTTCCAGTACTCATGTATTTACAGTATGACGAGTAACATCGATTCGGGATCGAGGACGAGAAAATTTGAGATCGAAAACAATCTTGGCATTGGTGTGCTTCAACTCAATATCAGCTTTGCTAGATTCATATAGCTCTTTGTGTTCAAACTGTGGAACATGTTTTTTAATATATATATGGAATTTAAATGATGGATCGTGTTGCCAATGACGCTATATCGGCTTGCTTCTTTGCCGTTCAGTCCTGTCGTGAGATCTCGGAGCTGCAACGGATGAATGACCGGAATCATAAATCGAAAAACCGAGAGAAAAATGAAACCGAATAGTAAAATTTTACCGAGTCCATTGGCCTCGGAAGTCTTCATGATTCGGAGCCTACGGACCGAGGTGAGAAACATCCTGAAATACGAAAAACAGATCAAAAACATGGAAAGATCAAACTATACATTCTATTTTCTTATCAGATTCTGTCGATTTCGGATTAAAAACATAGCAAAATATAGAAGCATACACCCATGGTACATCTCCTACAAGCATCCAATCTCCCTCTTTGTCTTCATAAGTCAAAACAAATTCAGATGATCCATCCAAAAGCTTAGAGGCCATCGTTAGTTGTTCCTTCTCGACACCTACAAAAGGGTAACGTTCGATAAACCGAACCTTAAACGTACTGAATAAACCAAGCCTCGGGTTTCGATCGACACTACCTCCGAAGTTAGCGGATAGGAGGAACATGTCTTCGAGTGCTCGAGCCAAACTCTGATAGGAAGAATGAGCATTCAAGTCAACTTTTCTTCCTATACGAATACCATCCATGTTGACCTTAATGTACCCAATATGCACTAATTTTTCAACACTTTGTTTCAGTTTGGAACCATCTTCTTTTGGGTTCTTTGCTTCATTAGTCCCTTTGTTTTCTTCAGCTCTCGGTGCTTTAGCTTGGTTAACCAAACTGTTCATCCTATAAGACCTTATGGGTGGCCATCCCACAACTTGACTGCTTCAAAACAACAACATAACCGAGTCAGAAACTCAGAATCCAACTTCAAAAATCCAAGGGTGTGTGAAGTAATTTAACTCAAAATTTGAGGAGATAAGACCTAATTTAACTAATAGTTAATCTTATAAGGACCTAAATTATCATTATACCAAACCTTTTGGAGGAAACAGTGACACCATTTATACCTGATAGCAGTAGGAGAGCCACCATCATCGGCAGCTCTTTTGGTCCCGGAAACGGAAACCGCCGGAGGATGGCCTCCGTTGATGGAAGCTCGATGGGGAACAACCACTGAAGGGGAGTCCTTGGCAGTCAAGATTCTACCAGGGGTAACCTTAGTCTTCCCTGCAAGACCACCAAGGCTGAGCCCTAGCTCGAGCTCGGCCTCAGCTGGATACGAACTCACCTCTGGAACAACCTCAACTTTTGACGAGGCTGACTCATTTTTGGAAAACCCAGAACAACCACCGTTACCGCTGCCGCCGAGTAAAACTAAGCCACCTCCCATTACCAGAAACTAGAGCAAAGAAGAAGAACAAGGAAGAGTATAGGAGAGGTGGAAGAATAAAAGAGAGGGAGAGTTGGTGGTGGAAGGAGTGATGATGATGGGACCCTTATCTCTCCATTGGTGCTCCCACCACTCTCACTGCTCCAACATAATCATAATCTGTATTCTTTATTCTGAGCATTCGGGTGTTTTTTATGATTTATAATTATGCAAAATTATGATAAAAATAAGGAGAAAAAGAAAAACTGGAATTGTGTAGGTAAGATTTAGTGCATTAAGTGGCTGAACTGTGTGAGAACTATTAGGAAGCAGTCTCCGATGGCAATTTTCTTTTATGCCTTTTTCAGTTCAAAGTTGTAAGGCTTACGTAGTGATCAAACTATATTTTTCTCACGATCATGTGTTTATAGTATTTTTTTAAATAATTTTGATGTTTAACGTTAAAAATATTATCACTTTAGGCGTTTGGATCGTAAACATTGTTTGGATCGTAAACATTGTTAATTTCTTCATTTAAGTGATATGTATCACATTTTGATAATTTTAAAAAATTTATTTAAAATTTAAAATTAAAATTATATATTTAAAAAGAACACAAAAATTTGAAATATCTCCAAAGCTTTGAAAATTTTCAACCTCTAAACTCAAGTCGATTGCCATCCTTTACCATCGACGAAGTTCCACCCGACTTCTCCTATTCCCAACGATCAATACCCTTACGAAATTACAACTGATCAACGGCCAATCAACGTTTTGTACCCCATGAATCATATGATAAAAATCATAATCACATGCAATTCTCACTACCAATCAGCGGAAACTATGATGCCATATGACTAGGAGGATGACAGAGACTAAATTGACAATGGTGGTCGTAGCCGGAAAGGACGACGACAGTGGGTTAGGATTAGGATTTAGGATTTTTATGAATTTTTGGTTTTTTTTAATTTAAGAGAAATTAAGGTTTTTTATAAATATAATAATTTTTTTAATTTTTTTTAAATTATCAGAATATGACACATGCCACTTAACGGAGAAAACTAACGAAAATTATGACTCAAGCACTTAAGATGGTAACATTTGTAACGTTAGGCACCTGAATATTCAAAAAAATATTGTTGTCACTTATTCATGAAAAGCAGTAGAGTTTAGGCACTTATTTTATATTTAAGCCAAGTAGGAATAGGTTTGGTCGAGTCAGAGTCTTAGTTTATTTGAATCCAACTTGAATATTATATTTTTTACTCATTGTCAAATTTAAAATTAATTTAATTTTTTGTGGTAAAAATTTAAAATTGTACATAGATTAGATATAAATTTTTATTTAAAAATTTTTATTTTATTAGATAAAATAGAGATATAATTGAAAAAAAAATATAATGAGATGTATTATTATAATTATCCCTAAATATATCAGAGATATCACATTATTATCATGAGTCGAGTCAGAGATTTTTTAATCTTAAATTTTAATTTGATGCCATCTGGCCTCATCCTCTAAAAAAATTAACTTAATTCGATCAAAATCAGAATTAAAAAATAATCTTATAAAATCAAATCGAGTCGAAACTCATCGGATTACGTGTTAGCACAATATAAATTTCGTTTAAAAATTTCATATAGTCTAAAGATATATATAATTAAAAACTATAATAATATAATATTAGATCATTTGAAATTCATTTAATTGTATTTATCTAATATTTTCCTTTAATTTCTTTAATAATAATAAAAACAACTATCTTTTCAAGAAAGCTCTCAAGTTGAAATAACATGCTTTGTGACCTTAAAAAATACATGATGATTTGTGTAGTGAAAAAAATGGGATTAATTAACAAGGAGGGCCTAGTCAGTGACAAATGCACAAATTAACTAATTATTATTTAATATATTTTATAAATCCAGTTATTCTTAATGGTAATTATGATACTAATTTAAGTACAAGTAAGGTTAATGATCTTCTTGTCGGAACCGTCTTTCGGTTAGGTCCTGAATTGGGCTTCGACTTAAATTAAGTAAATTGGAGTCGCCACCGACCACTTTAAAACGAATTTAGGTGGGCCGGACACCATCTTACCTGATCTACGTTGTACCAGAAACGTGTCGGGTTCGGGAGTCGATTACGGTCAAGGAAGGATTAGCACCCTTGAACCGCCCTTTCGGTACCAATTAATTTGTCGGTTGTCTTAATTGCGAAAATTAAAATTTAAAATTGAAATTTAAAAATTCGGTTCGAATCGCATTACTTACCTTTGATTAATTGAGATTATTACTGAAAAAGGAAAAAAATGTTAGACAGAGAAAAAAATAATGGTACTAAAAAATAAACTGAAGGAAAAATAATAATAAAAATGTGTATACCAAAGAGATAAAATACAATAAAATTAAAATTAAATAAATACAAAATAAAGAAGTATTAAATGGATAAAAAAATTGGTTTAAAAGTAAAAATGAAAACAATATGAGGTAAAAATACTAATAATAATTAAAAAGCATGATAATAATAAATAAATAAAATAAAATAAGAATTTAGGGATCAAATTGCAAAAAATGTAAAATATAAATGGGGACCAAATTGAAACAGTTGAAAATCCAGTGGCCAAATTGCATGTGGTGACTAAAACAAATTGCGACTCAAACTTACAGGGATCGCGGAAAGGATTTAACTTTCCTGTAATTGCAACTTAGTCGCCCGTATATAAAAGGCCTAAAACCCCTAATTTTCCCTCATTCTCTCATTTCACTCATCTCTCTAAATTTGAGAGAAAGAAAAATCTCTCTGAAGCTCTCTCGCCTGGGGGTGTCCGACCACTGCCCGATGACCCTTCCACCGTGCCGACCACCCTCTCGGCCGCCGCGAAAAATGCTTTCCTTAACCCCGTAACCCCAGATTCGAAGCCTGTTTACCTTAAATTGTTCTGACCTAGCGTAGATCTAAGCCGAAAGGCTTCGACTTTTACCTTTCCGACGATAACTCTTCAATTGTTTTGTCGTGCTTGGTTCTTCTCGCGACCGGAGATGCTTTATTTTTTGTTTGTTTGTTTTTGATTTCTTACTGTGAGGCTTCGGCTTTTGGGTTCCTGTTTTGTTTTTTGCTGTGTTGTGGTTCGATGATGGTCACTTTTGTTTGTTGTGGTCTTTGTGGTCGGTTTTTTTTATTGTTATCTTGCTTTGATCTCTGTGTGACTTTGATTTACCGTTCCTGTGTGGTTTCCTGTTCTAGCCGTTGGTACTGTGGTCGTTGGTGATTTCTGTGTTCACCGTGGGTACCCCGATGGGTTTCCTCTCCTCCCCTTTATGTTGTTGGCTGTGGGTTTTTATAACCCCTACCAGCCGTTGTGAATCCTGACGATCTTGGAATCGTGGTTGTTGGTCGACTGAGATCTCCGTGTATGTTACACCGGTCGCCTCGGGATGGTTCAGTCTCGTTGGTGCGGCCGGAAAACGCTGTAACACCCACAACCCGTATCCGACCCGGATACAAGTCTGAGGTGTCACATTGACTTTTCAAACTTTAATCTTTTAACGAAAACCAATGAAATTTAAAACTTTGATTAAAATAACATTGTCACTGCACACGAGTTAACCAAAATAAGACAAAACTAATCAGAGCATTTGAACTAACACTGTTCTTACATGCCAACACACTACATACAACAAAATACCTACTGTGACTTTACTTCTGATCTGATCGCTGAGTAGAGATAGGTTGATATGCAAATTCCTATTCTTGATTCTCCTGCTCTTCGAAACCTACGTGTAAAAACACTTACACGCTAAGTCATAGACTTAGTGAGGCATAATTACATCATAAAGAATTATTAAAATATAAACATGTCGTCTACTATCCAAACACAATTATACTATCATACCATCATTTATTATACCACATATGAGCCAATACAAATCGTAATAATACCATATTAAGATACAACTATATACATCCTCGTTATGTCTTATTTAAGTCCATATACACTATTGAGAACCCAAGGTATACGAGTATTATGAGATTGTGCACACGTATGCTGTCCCCACAGCTCCATGAATTTTTCCGAAGGACCTATCCAGAGGTCATAAAGATCCTCGGTAACTATCCAGAGGTCATAAAGATCCTCGGTAACTATCCAGAGGTCATAAAGATCCTCGGTAACTATCCAGAGGTCATAAAGATCCTCGGTAACTATCCAGAGGTCATAAAGATCCTCGGTAACTATCCATAGGTCCCGAAGAACCTAGGTAAACTATCCATATGTTCCTTAGAACATAGGTATACTGTCCATATGTCTCGAAAGACATAGGTAGTTCTTTGACTCTTGGCATACCAACTATACTTACAGTTCTCATAACTCATCTCATGGCATTGTCTTTTACCTTATTACATATTCATACATCATATCACATTTTTCTTTTTCTATAGCTCTTTATCACATGTTCATATGACCATCTTATTACCTATACCTTTTCATATAACCATTACATACATACATACATACATGTCAGCCCTCATATGATTTCATATTCATATTCTGTATATTTCATATTCTTTCTTATGTCCTTTTCATACTTCTTATTTCATATTCTTATGAAATCATATTGATCATTTTAACTATTTCACATATTTAACACATTTATCTACATATTTACACAACTCATATATATATATATATATATATATATATATATATATATATATATATATATTGTAACATGTCAATACATATGCTCATTCATACATATAAACCATAACAAACACAGCACACTCACTTCATATACCTAATATAGATATCTCGTAACTCATTCATATATAAGCTCTAATCTGGAACATAGACTTACCACAATCTGCATAGTATATCCCATAATGTATATGGTATGAATTCATATCATATTTAATAATATTGAATGAATCATGTATCAAGATATTAAATCTAGACTTATCGCAGTTCTAAAACTGAATATACTAACATAATTATGTTATGCACATGCACTCACCTTAGCCTTGTTTGAATTGAATCAATTCAAACCCTTCGTTTACTTTGAAACAAAGTCACGTTCCATATCTTCATAAGCATAAT